ATAGATATATTTACATTATCATATAGTTAGCATGGCTGCTCAGTTACATAGCGTGTTTTTAGCTTTGTAAATTATAATAATATGTATTATTATATTTATCTTTCGCGTATTGCATTTATATTCACGTAACGTTTTATCATATATGTATCTTGTTTACGATTACAATCAAATTATATTATTATGATATCAGCGATTTGTCAATATAACAGAAGTTTGTTTTTTTTTTGTTTATTTTTATGTTTTAGAATATAATTATATTAATTGTTTTGTTGAGTAACATTTTTACGTTTTAAAAAAAAAAAAAAATTGTTTATATGATATTATACATCACATATTTTATGTGGCTAGGACTTAATAAAGGTAGACAAAGATTTAGTCGCTAAGGTGTAAATGAATAAATATAATAATCAGCTAAAAAGTGTGTGTGTAAGTGCTCGGAAATCGAAAATGTGTGTATTGATGAAATAATAAATTCCAACTACGGCGGTGTCTCCTAGATTGACACCGATGTTTAGAAGTGTGAGTATTATAATATAGAAGACAACTTAAAATATCTCACGGTGTCGCACAAACGGAAATTAAAACGTCAGTAAATTATTTTTTACTACTGATGAGATATGTTGAGTAGAGGAGGAGGTAGGAATGAGTTCTTCCGATGAAGACAAAAACAAGAAAAGGTCGACAAACACGTGAAAACCATTTATCTGTAATAACTCAGTATATATAACATAATATTGTATAGAGCCAAAACACATAATTTGTTGGTGAATCGTTTGTGTGCGATTTTTGTAGCAGAAGATTGAAGACACCCGCAAGGCTTTCTCGTATTAATCCCACCTGAAACGTACCCGTGTAACTATAGAGATGTTATCTTCCGCTCTGCAGTGGTGAGTTTTTAACTTTAATATACACTGAATTATAATCATAATAATGAAAAAAGGCTTATACTATATGTTTAATATTTATTTATTTGTATTATAGATAAATAATCACGGTATAGTCGTTAATGGAATTTTTGAGTGTGATAATACTTACACTATAATTGTATTTTAAATTTTGAATAGGTAATATATATTCTTGTAAATTAAAATTTTCTCTGTTAACAATATATTTTACAGCTCTAAAATTATTTATATTCTATAAGTATTTAATTTCATGTACCTGCATTATATTGCATTAAGTCAAAACCGGGTGAAGTATGATCAGATTCGCTGACTCTATAAAATTGCATATTGAAATTATGGAGAAAACAGATCTACTACGTCCTTTAAACCAGATGTACAGATCATATTTGTGCACAATATTATTATTATATGACGAAAATGTTTCATTATATGCAGAATACAACGTTATCAAACGAAAAACGTAAACAAATAATACAATTGTTGATTTTATATAATACATCCAATATCCGATTTATTGTTCGATGTTGAACCAGAGAAATTACCACCAATAAGCGCGATGACATATGTCATTCATGAATGTATGAATGACTTTGCATTTAACTATTTTAGTCTAGCTATCAATATTTACAACACGTATAAATCTATGTGTAAGTATATATTAGAACGAGATGTTCGACATACGGTGAAGTGTAGAATACATAAAATACGTGAGAAAGATTCGGATCAGATGAAAGATTTTTTTTCGTATATGATATTATATGGGTTTCGCTGAAAAAAACGTGACGTTTGAAACACTTCTATATATAGACCTGAGTCCAATTTAATAGAAAATATTAAATAATTTATGGATGAAGTTTGTATGAGAAAAAAATTATGCATGAGTCATATTTATTATTATTGTTATTACTATTTTATATCAATTCTACGTATGTAGTGCATCAGTGTCCTAAGTCCTAACTTAATTATTATAAACATAGACAATATAATATGCATATACATAATATGTATGTCTATTTGTTAGATTGGAATTTTATCGAATTATGTTCAATGTTTCAATACAATTTAATATTCTATGACAAAGTGGAATGTTTTATTTGTAAATATAAATAAAATCAAATTGTGAGATACAACTCCGAAGAACTATAAAATCTAATTCTTAATAGCTGTGATATATATGTCGTTTATTTATATGTACCTACGTCATTGAATTTCTCCTTAATTTAATATACTACTTATAAATTATTATAAAGTGAATTCATAATTGTATTTATATTTATATTTTGAACTCAGTAAATTATATTATAATTTTAATTGAACGAACTCTTTTATTCCAGCGACATATTTTTTGTTTGTGCACATTAATTTGGTAGAATATCGAAGTATGATCAAATCAATAAATAATTTTAAGCACAACACCCGTATTTTCAATAAATTGATATTCAATGTGCTAATAATAACATTATTATCATTATTATTCTTATTGTTATCATCACTATTATTACAATGAGGTTTGCCAGTTGAACGGACTCCTGTGTTAACCATAAGAGTACTGGTTTCGAAGTGTGTAATGAGTAACAGTACAACTTATTTTATTTCTGAAGTAGATAGATAATTTTTTTATTATGTCTATTTGTCTCTTTCTTCTCTGTCTCTTATTTCTTCAAACCACATAATATATAATGAAACTTCAACTGAATATTAGGACAGGTACCCAATATAATATAGAACAACGATTTTGCACTGTTCGTGTGAAATCACAATTGTTGAGACATCGATTGCGTACTTACGGCATGATTTTATGATAATAATATGAGGTTTTGAATTTGGAAAAACAATTCTACGTATACTTACAATAATCATATCTATTCGTGAGTGTATTCACACAAAAAACGCCTGCAATGTCACTAAATTAAATCGTTACGTTTATTTTTCTTTAACAATTATTTGTTTCTGCGCATAAAAAGTTAACTAATATTTAAAAAAATTATACATGATCTTGATAAATTTTATTCATTCATTTTTTTTTTTTTAAGTTTATGCCTAATTTATTTTCAATCGTAATTGATTGAGTGGGATATAATCGGCTTAATATTATATTAAATTGTAATTCTAAAATTATGTTTTGTGTTTGAAATATGTCAAAGAAATAATTAAAAAAAATAATGGTAGATAGGGAAAAATATCTACAAAGAATGGATTATTTATTTCAAAAAACTACAACTATAGAGATTATTTATTTTTAGAAAATAAATTACATTCTTAAACTATGGCAATAAAACTATTTATCGCCTGTTTAAAAGTGCTATTGAAAATGATTGATGATAATATAAAGGTTCACAGAAAAGGGAATTATATTGATTATTCTCCAAGAACATACATCTATGGTCTTGTGTGTATTTAATAGGAATTATTATTTGTAGAATTTTAAAACATATTATTTACAACGGTTTAGTAAATGATTATTATGTTTATTTTGTTTTAAATTTATGACGTTTTAATTAACACTACTTACTTTATTTACTTGATCAAAATATAAACTGAATTATAAAAAAAAAAAACATTCCATCATTCTTGTACAAAAATGTATTGTTCGTTGGGTGGGTTCTACTTAAAAATAGGTTCTTATGTTTTAACCATTATCATAACTACTAAAATTCATTAATTATATTTATAAAATTATTATAACATTTATCTTATTCTAATAAAATATAATAAACAAGGTTTATGACTTCATGCATATGCATGTTTTTTGTAATCCTAGGTTAGATGAAATTTTTTATAAAATGGTGAAATTAAGTAAAAAGTTTAACTTTGCATGATATTTCATTTTATCAAAGTATATAGGTACTTATATTGTGAGTGCTAAAAATGAATTACTTATATCAAAGTAAATATTTAATAATAATCAAATATTATTTAACCATGTATTGTTGTACACAAGAAATAAAAATTAAAATATAGATGTACATTTTAGTGTTAATTTTAGTATTTTTACTATAGCTTTTTGCATATTCATATAAATATTTAAAGCATTTTTAGCATAATTAGTCTCCAAAATGAATTATAAATTGTGTTACATCGAAAGTCAGTGCAGTTTAAAGCGAACTTAGCGTTGGTTACATGTTTATGTTTGGGAGTTTAAATAATAATTATTATAGATGTTCACTGTTTATAAGTTCTGGGAATGTGTTGGTGTTTATATGCAAATGTATAATATGGAAATAAAAATGTGTGAAGTGTTAAAATTTATCCACGCTTTACGTTGAAACTTAAATGTACAAACTTCACTATTAAAATATGAACAGTAATAATAAAATCTTATACGTAGTTTTGTAAACATAGATTGAAAGTTTTAACTTTTAATTATTGCAAATTTCTGATTTGTGAGAATATACTTTTAATTTAAGTAGTATGTTTTGGTATGTTCTATACCCCCCGCAAATCCGGTGAATCCGACTACCCCGCCCACCCTATCGCGTACGTGCACGACCCCCCCCCCCCCCCCCCCTCCCCCCCCCCTTACCGAACCACCCCCCCCCATCATATCACACACGTACCCAGCCTTACCTCCTCCCCTCCTTAACTATCGTGAACGTACCCGACCCTACCCCTCCCATCCTATCGCGAACGTGCCCGACCTTCCCCCTCCCATCCTATCACGAACGTGCCCGACCTTACCCCTCCCATCCTATCACGAACGTGCACGGACTTACCCCTCTCATCCTATAACGCACGTGCACTGCCTATCACCGGCGTGCCCTCCCATCTATATCTATCACACATATATCTAATTAATTAATTATTTAAATAATCTACAAGCGTTTAATACATATGATAAAATATTACATAAGAATTAATAATCAGTTAAATGATATTATGAAATGTGAAAGTATACAACTTTTAATTGCTATTTAATGATCATCATGTAGTAAACAAAACTATTAAACCTATTTCATCACAATATTTTAAGTATAAATAGAGCATACTGTGGTCTATAATATCGTCAGTAGTGAAACAAACACTTAACCCTCAAGTCGTTTTATTATCCGTTTAAATTAATTTTTACACTATACAAAAGTTAAATTTTCAAGTATTTCTAAACATGGCTGGTTCAATCGCGAATAATGTAGCTATATACAAGAAAACCTTAACATATATTCCACCAGCATCACCTTCGGAGCTCATCGATTCTACTAACTATACGTTAAATTTCATGAAACGTAAGTTTATACATATTGGGATCGATCCAAGTGATATGTTCAGAGTAGCGGTACATATAATAACTCCATCACGATATGTTAATATTTCAACTGAGTTTTTACAACGGATATTTTCACTGATGGGTAATATCCTATCATTTATTTTGGAGCAACCAGGAAAATATAAAAGAACTATATTTCTTGAGACGGAGAATTTCAAGTTGTCTAGCATGATGTATAGCGGTGAAAACACCTTAGTAGTAGAGTCAAAAATACAAGATGGATGTCGAATTCTTTTAAATCGTGTGGAACTTTTACAACTTCAATATCTCGAATGGTGTATTTTTGAAACAATTACACGAAAATCGACTATCATGCAACCAATCATCTTACATCAATATGAAATATTTACCGAGTATCTCGGTAGAGAACTTAGCAAAATGGACTCGGCACCAAAAACGATTGAAGAAATGGTTATATTCATCAGAAATATACGCGATGATCATATAATTACAAACAGTCCTAAACATGATATTAATTTTATCAGTCAGCTCAAAATGCATGCATTTACACAATTAGCTGAACATTCAATACAACGGTGGAATGTGGAAATATCACCAGAGGTAAGTAAAAAAATATTTATATCACTTTCATAAATAATTAATATAAAAATTATTTTAGTTATTTAATGGAAATATATCTTCATCAACCCATAATTTTACATGACTCCCAGACACACACATACTTACCCACAATCCCTCTTATTAGTACGAATAAACCTATTACAACACATTGTCGAGCACCGACGTCGTAGCGGGGGCTATTGATCCGTAATGTCTCTGAAGGACACAGGCAACCGGTCTCGGCAGCTGCGTCCCTTTGCCCATTGAAATAGGCCTTCAACCCTGCATATTCACCATACATAACGTATCGTCTTATTATACGTAATTTTTTATTCGATACAAACTTATCTCGCTAATACTATTACCTTCCCCTGCCGCGTATTTTCTTCCTATTACATAGTTATCTCGTGTTTTTATTTAAATCTAAATATTATAATATTATATTACAATAATATTATTGCTCAAACAACCTTATTTAACTGGCTAATAAGTAATAACAAATATTAGGAACATGGAAACCCGCTTTATTATAATATAAATAAATATATTGATTGTTCAATATTATATCTCGCTTAACTGGCTAATAAGTAATAACAAATATTAGCAACATGGAAACCAGCTTTATTATAATATAAATAAATATATTGAAAAACAATTTATAAATTTATTGATTGTTCATTACTCGTCACGAATGGACATAATAAAAAGTCAATCGTGTATCACTACTATCACTACAGTATGTACTAAATTTCATAGTCGTTTTCGAGTGAAAATAATAATTATTAATAACTGTTCTTATGTTATAGATTGAAGAAGATAGAAATAAATATTGTATCATTGCAGTAAGTTACATAGAATTTTTCGAGTGAAAATAATAATAATTAATAACTATTCTTATGTTATAGATTCTAGTCATTATTATCTATACTCTGTTCAACGAAAGAACGCGCCGCGCGCCTACAAAATTGGTCCGTTTTCGCGCATTCACGCGTGTACCCAGCCTGTGTGCCACTACCAGCCTGGACGGCCCACCAAACTACGGCACGCTCCAGCGACCGTCTGTATGTCGGCCATCTTCGGCAAGCCGAGAGAGGGGAAAATGGGGCCTCGGCGCTCGCTCGGTCCAGTCTACATGCGCAGAACTGGCGTGTTCTCTCGCTGGACAGAGTATAGTCATTATGAAAAATGAATAAAATGTACTGACCAAGTCTTCCTTTTTACGCCCACTTATACCTTCATAAGTGAAGTATTTCTTTTCCTAAGTTTCCCTGATTTCGTGAACGATATATCATAGATAACTGAACGAAATATAGAATGTGTATGGTGCAGTACAACAGCAAAACTCCAAATATTATCAGTAATTTAAAATTAAATATTATAAGATACGGCTAATTGATGACCAGTTTTCTAAACAACAATGCCGTAAATATACGGCAATCTTCCCCAGCAAACTGTGATTACATCGTTTTTGCTAAGCATCGATTATATTTAATTACAATTGCGGCAATATTTGTTTCTTATAAATATAAATTTCTCGATGAATACCCAACTATATTTACGGCATTTTTACTTAAAAACATTATGTAAAACTGTAATGTTAAACGTAATACAGAATTATCTCATTTTATTCTTTTTCCTAAGGACGGCAGTATAATACAGGCAAGGCTTACTATTATATTATAGTACCTAGTGATTTCCCCCACTTAGGAGATTTCTAGTTATGCAGCTGCATAGTTTATGTCAAGTACTCAAGTATAAAAAAAAAGTTGCTTATCTATTCTTTTTTATCTAGATAAATTAAAGTTATCTGTTATCTTTATCTAGATAAATTCCCAACAATAATCTATTATCTTTATCTAGATAATATTTTAGTTATCTATTCCCAACACTGTCAGTAAAAATAATTGTAATCATACAGATAAATAAGATAAATAAAAACCGGTTTCGCTGCAGCTCGGGATGGTTTTTATTTATCTGTATGATTACAATTATAGTAATTATTGTTTATTATCGTGTTAAAGCTATGATTGTTGTTGTTACGGCTATGATTGTTGTTACGGCTATGAGTGTTGTGGTGATTAATTCTAAATCCGGTAACATTTTCCACTGAGATTTCCGAGGCGGCTGCAGCAGTGTCCGGTGATATAATCGGCTTTACGGCCTTCCACATCGTTTTCACGATTCCTTCGGTGGCTTCAGTTGTTTCATTGGAAAATGCCTATAAAAAAAAAAAAAGAAATTGAATATTAGATCGACTCGTATTAATTATAGTAATTGTAATTGTTTATTATCGTGTTATTGTTAAAGCTATGATTGTTACGGCTATGAGTGTTATTAATTATTATTGTGTAAAACCTAATTACTATGTATAATATATGACTGTATAATATATAATGTATAACTGTATAGCTTTTTTATGTCAATCTGGACAGTCGTGCTTACCGGTTGTGTCTACTTCTTATCTACTATATATTATTACTAACAATTTTTACGCACACTATGGATTCTACCTCATTAGATGATATCAAATCTTCATTAGATGAACTTAAAGCCTCTCAAAGTAAGATAATCTCATCAGTTTCAAATAATAACATTAAAGCCTTGAATAAAAAGTTTGACGATATAATTAAAACTATATCTATTATATCCGAGGAAAATAAATAAGATAGTCAAAGAAAAAATGTTCTGGAAAATAAATAATATGATCTTTTAGAAAAAAAAAATCTCTACCTCTCAAATTTCTACTGATGAAAACTTATTATCTGAAATAATGGAGAGACAATCACGCTCATGTAATTTAATTAGTTTTAATTTACCTGAATCTAAGGAAGATTCCCAAACTAAAATCAAATACTATAGATTAGAATACGGGAAGCTCGTAGATTTTGTAGGGGACACTGTAGCGCTCCATATTATAGTGGGTTGCCTATATAAGCCCCTTATTTTTTCTTTTTTAGACACTGATAACTGATAAGTTATAACAAATATAGAAGAACAACTACTTAGCTTTTTTCTCATTTTTAAATCAAGTCCAATAAGTCCATTAGCCCTTAGGTACTTAATATTATAGTGTTATTAGTGTTAGAATATTTAAATGTTTACATAGTTCATAGTAAAACGTGCAATACATCATTACCTGTGTCAAGTGTGTGGCTGTATGGATTATAGACACTGGATTACTAAAACAAGGTTTGTCTCATAGAGTAATACTTGATGGTTCGCCTTTTGTTTTTACAATGATTTGATACAGTTCCACATGAAGATTAATACAAAATATTATTAAAACAATACAAAAAATGTAGGTACCTACTATCTATTAACAACAGTATATACCATCAAATACTATAAATTAGACTAATCTAAAGTATTTGATACCATCATAACGAGTCATAATATTATGTACAATGTACAAATACAAAATAAAAAAAGAAATAAAACTTAGGTATAAGAACATTATAAGATATGTATGAACAATATTTTTATGTTTATGATATAATATGTAAAATTAATAATTAGGTGTATAATAATATAATACAATATAGTATCAATAATAATTATATACTACTCTATTAGTGTAAAATTTCGTTTAGTATAGAAAAATAATCAATTATCGCAATAATGATATTATTCATTAACTAAAATATCGAATACACGTGATTTATACACTAATCAGAGTAAGAAAGAAGATAAACCCTTAGATTCTGAAATTATTAATATCGATGAGGAGACTTTTGATAATTATCAGAGGGAAATTGAAAATTGGTTTCAGACAACGGATATAGATAGAACATTCGGTCCGAAAAAACTCGCAAACGGTGATATTACCTTAGGTGATAAAGAAGTAAAATTCACTCAACGAATAATAATTATCGATGAGACTACTTATCCAACAACCTCGGGTATTATTCAACTACTGTTTTTGAAAACCCCTACCATTTATACGGATAACGATTTGAAGGTTTACAAATCGATATTAATTCAAACATCAGCACATTTAACTGCAGGTGGTTTAAAAATAAGAAATACCAAATGTAAAAAATATAAAAATATTATAAGTAAATTATTCCCCACCGGTGGTGGTGAACTGTCTATGAAAGTACAGAAAAACAACATAGTGTATTGGGACAACCCGAACGAGTTGGTCGATAGACTTCGATTACTTCTAGCGTCGAAATCAGCTGGTAATACGGCTGTCTCGAATGAGATAATATCTATTTTCGAGGAATTACGTGAGGCCGGGTTAATCAAACGAATTCCAAATGTCTAAACGTGAAATTGCCATTGAACTTCACAAACCATCGAGGAAAAATTTCACGAGGCGTAGAGTTAACATATATGGGAAAAATGATTTGTGGCAAGCTGACTTGGTTGAAATGATACCATATTTGGGGAAAAACAAAGGCTACAAGTATATTTTATGTGTAATTGATTGTTTTACTAAATTCGCATGGGCTCTACCTTTGAGAACGAAAACGGGTAAAGAAGTCACTAGTGCTATGTCTAAAATATTACACGATCGCTCGCCAAAACTTCTACAATTGGACAATGGGAAGGAGTTTTATAACAAAACGTTCGATGGGTTGATGGATAAATATGGTATACACAAATATTCTACATATAGTATTATGAAAGCGTGTATTGTTGAACGCTTCAATCGCACACTGAAAGAGAAAATGTTTAGAGAGTTTACTGCCCAAGGCTCTCACGAATGGATTTCTATTCTACCAAGGTTGCTTCGGGAATATAATAATTCAAAACATAGAACTATTGGAATGACACCGATACAGGCGGATGCAGACCCGCTTACGGTGGAAATAAAGCAACGTGAAATCAATAATGTAAAAATTAAATTCAAAGTAGGTGATAACGTTCGGGTTAGTACCCAAAAAGGGGTGTTCGCAAAAGGTTATTTACCTAATTGGTCTACGGAAATATTTGAAATCATCAAAATAAATAAAACATTACCCGTTACATATCAGTTACAAGATTATACGGGGGAACCGATTGCAGGATGTTTTTATTCCGAGGAAATACACAAGACTAATCACCGAAATGAGTATTTAATCGAGAAAATTATACGTAGAAAGGGTAACCAAGTGTTTGTCAAGTGGTTAGGATTTGATGCGTCGCATAATAGTTGGTTAAAAGCTAGTGACCTTAAATTGTAACCGTCTAATTCAGTAGCATGTTTATATTCATCCGGATAACACGTATCGATAATGGATATTTTCAATAACTCTATCGATGGACGTAGAAAGAACATTATTTCACATATTCATTCGAATAATAAAACAATTCTGTACGATGTAAAATTATTGAAGGGGCAAATAGATGGTATGAAAAGTTATATCGCAAATCTCGAAGAGAAATTGAAATCAATGGAGGTTGATATAAAACAAAACAATAGGTCTTTATTGAATTCCGAGAATCGTGTTTCGGAACTATTTAATAACTATGCTGAAAGTAGTACAGTAATTAGTATAACTCGAGAAGATGTCGCTAGTTTAAATAATACGTTAAGTAATATAACCGCCGGAGAATTCAATGAAGATTCCCTGATAAATCATGGAGCATATATTTCAGACTTACATACACGCGTGAAAAATATCGAGGACAGTTATATTAAGAAGAATTAATTTTTAGTATACTCTATGACCTCGATAGGCGTGTACCCCGCACACGAGTCGGGTTTAATACAAGATGTATTTGAAAACTCGTTTCAGTAGTATAGTAAAATTCGTATGGACAACATGTATATTGGTTATGGATATTTTCAATAATTCACTTGACGGGCGTAGAAAAAATACTATTTCACACATTCAGTCGAGTAACAAAACGATTCTATACGATACGAAGCTACTGCAGTCGGAGATAGGTACTCTGAAAGGCGATATCACAGATCTACAAGTGAAGATAAAGTCGTTGGAAGGTGATATTCGACAAAGTACAAAATCTCTATTAGAGTCTGAAAGTCGTATTAGAAAACCCTTATCAGATCTAGCGTCCTTTATTTCAGTCCTGGAAAAACGTCTGAAGACCATCGAAGATAGTTACAATATTAATAATAAAAGTTAATTCAATCGAAAATAATGTCGGCCATCGCAGACATCCAGTGCGTTCTCGGGGCTGACAATAAATATATGATAAAAGAAATGTCTGTAGTGGACACGGGAACATGGGCGTGTCAACACTGGATTTTCAAGAATTCCAACTCTAAACAGGACAACAAGAGCCGGAAAACGAACAAATGGCTTGAACGTAATTATCATCAACTATCTCTGGAATATGGTGATGTCGAGTACGAGGAACTCGGCGGGATATTGAATTCACTGAAGTTCAACTGCATTTACGTGAAGGGTGAGCAGAAAAAACAACTTCTTATGGAATATATTCCGCACGTTGCACTCGTCAACATCGAAGATATGGGTTGTCCATGATTGGATCAAATATGTGACGACGTGACTCTACCCTGCTGTATTTTTCACATGGAATTCAACCCCAAACAATGTACATTCTACAAAGTTTTCTCCATACGTAAATGGTTTGTAAATAATTCTTAAAACCCTTAATACAAGCTACTGCATGGCCACTCACGGAACGGAACGGCGCGGCACGGCATGGCACGGTCACTCTCAGCAGACGTATCAGCTCAACACGGATTTAGTTTAATATTGATACATACATTTTTCACTATACTTTATACCATATGTATTTAATAATAATAAACATAACACTATTATAAAGCAATCAATATTTTTTTTATTTTTTTTTATTATTCACATCAGTCTATAAAATATAATACATAATATCACACATGTA